CCATGTTTGAGCTTGGTGTGTCTTTACTCAGCTCTGATGACCTGATCATTTCCATAGATACCGCAATATGTCACCATATATGTAAGGGGTTTGTTGGGACCAGGAGATACACTGAAGAGGTAGAGTGTAAATGGTCCCCAGACAGTAGCTGTATTGCAGTTGCAGGTTCATTTGGGATGTTGTTTGTTGTGACACGGAAAGCTCTCAAACTCAAATTTTGCTTCCAAAAGGACTTGGAATTACCTGTATGTACCATAAACAATGCAAGATCTTTTGATTTTGATCCTCGTTACCGTCATTCCCGTCTGGCCATAGCAACAACTGATAACTTTCTGTACACTATCAACATAAACAAGAAATCTGTGATAGCGGAAGTTGCTGTGGAGTCTAAGGATGTAAAAGGCACCATTCATTGTGTGAGTTACAACAAGGATGGCACCTTGCTGGCAGTTGCTACCTCTGAGGCAACTGTGCACATGTTTAACTGTGATAATGCTACACTGCTGTACAAACTGGAAGACCATGAGAATGCAGGGCCTCGGAGTGTGGGATTTTATATAGATCTGTATCCAACTATTGTCAGGATGAGCTTCAGTTGTGCTGGAAAGCACATGGCAACTTCATCAACAGATGGAATGATAAGACTGTGGCAGTTGCCGACCACACTGAATCTGCAACATTTGTGTAAAATAACTATTCTGCAAAATGTGCCCATTAATAAAGTGATGCAGTTACCAATACCTAAACAGTTGGCACTATACTTGCTCAACTGGCCCACAGCAGAGTAAAATATTTTGTCAGAGTTATTTCAAACCTAAGTTTTGGAAAATTTTTTCGTGTTCTGGATTTTTAGAACACCATAGTGCACATCCCATTTCCTGTGCATGCATAAATGTGTAATTTTTTTACACAGAGGTTCTTGCTAGCATGTAAACTTATTTTAGAACAGCTGATTATCTCTTATTTGAGCAAAAGAAAATGATATTCCATTTGTGTACCCTTTTAGTTACGACCATACAAAAGATATTTACTGGTTATATGACAGAACCTGTGGAAGCATATATCCATTCACTTCCTTCATATATCAAGTAAAAAATAGCTGGTGGATGAACCTGGCCCAGAGGTGCCAAAATAACACAATTACAGTCTTTTTCACGATGTAACTGCCCATCATTCTCTCATTATATCTCTTTTTCACTTCGGCTTTGGATTGAACAGAGCATTTCACAAAGTAGGTGAAGGTACATTTTTCAATTTTTAACAGTTGACTGTGGCGCGAGTCCTGTTGTGTACATGCTATTATAATCAAGGGGGAAATTATCAATAAAACAAATTTATGATAATCTGGATTTTTTTATTAGCATAATTTGATAAAATTTTGTTTTTAAATCATTTCAGTCCATAAACTTCTCTTTAAAGAGGTTTTTTCATCACAGCAATTCATAATGGACTTCATTTACATTATTTTAGGTCTTTTTTACATTAAGGTGATCAAACTGCCTCTTAAAATATACAATTTTCATTATTTGGTGGACTTAATAAACATGACTAATAACTGGTCAAAATTCATGGCCAATAATCCAATAATGTACATGATATGTACAACTTGTATAAAATATTACCAATTCCACCCCATAACATTTTCTGCCAAAAATGGCCTTTTTTTAATTACTATCATAAATAATTCTAAGTATTGGCCCACATCTGAAATGAGTACAATCTTATGCTGAAGCTAAAACTTGGTATGTTAACAAGCATTAGAAAATAAAAATAGTAGCATGGACTTGGTGAGCCTGCATGAATATAATTTACCTGGTTTTGGTAGCAAACTTAAGTGTACAAAAAAGATGGAATTTTTCATATTGTCATTATAAAAATACAAAAATACAATGCAAAATAATTATATTATCAAAAATAGCCCAAGTGAAGAAAAATCTGGAATGAACTGTATTAGCCTCAAAATCTTACCAGTGGAAGTACATAAAAACTGGCAAAACAAATATAAGCACAATATACATGTAGATCACACATATCTTGGTAATTTTCTATATGAATTGATTTTTACGGTTCTGAGTAATCTTCTATCAGTCCATGTACTACCAAACATTCAAGGTTTTTTTCAATTTAATTTTATGAACATGTTTCTGAAATGGAGAAGTGCAAATGCACCAAAAACCACCAAAATGTAATTGTTTGATCCTACTGGTATCCAAGATTTAACTATTATATGCTTTTCAACAGATGACATACTCTATCATTTAATGACAATGAAGTTTTGAGACAATTTAATTCACAATATACAGTATCTCCTGGTGGTCTTAGTTAAGACCCAAATTCTATGGTTTCTGGAGTTATTCNCCACACTGAATCTGCAACAGATGTGTAAAATAACTATTCTGCAAAATGTGCCCATAAACAAAGTGATGCAGCTACCAATACCCAAACAGCTGGCAATATACTTGCTGAACTGGCCAACAGCAGAGTAAAATATTTTGTCAGAGTTGTTTCAAAATTTAAGCTTTTGAAAATTTTTTCGTGTTCTGGATTTTCAGAACACCATAGTGCACATCCCATTTCCTGCGCATGCATAAATGTGTAATTTTTTTATACAAAGGTTTTCGCTAGCATGTAAACTTATTTTAAAACAGCTGATAATCTCTTATCTGAGCAAAAGAAAATGACATTCCATTTGTGTATCCTTTAAGTTAAGAACATTCAAAAGTAATTTTACTTGTTATATGACAGAACCTGTGGATACATTTCCATTCCCTTCCTTCCAATTTCAAGTAAAAAATGGCTGGTGGATGAACCTGGTCCAAAGGTGCCAAAATAAGCCAATAGTCTTTTTCATGATGTAACTGCCCATCATTCTCTTAATAGATCTCTTTTTCACTTCAGCATTTGAAGCAACAGTGCATTTGATCTTTCACATGCAGATTTTTACAGAAAGTAGGTGAAGGTACATTTTCTCAATTTTCAACAGTCAACTATGGCGTGAGTCCCGTTGTGTACATGCTATTATAATCAAGAAAGAAATTATTATTAAAACAAATTTATGATAATCTGTTTTTCTTTATTGGCATAATTTGATAAAATTTTGTTTTCAAATCATTTCAGTCCACAAACTTCACTTTGAAGAGATTATTCATCACAGCAATTCATAACTGACTTGATTTACATAATTTTAGGTCTTCTGTACATTAAGGTTATCAAACTGGCTTTAAACATCTTATATACAATTTTCATTATTTGTTAGACTTAATAAACATGACTAATAACTGGCCAAAATTCATTGCCAATTTATCCAATACTGTACATGATATGTACATCTTGTATAAAATCTTACCAATTCCACTCCATAACATTTTCTGTCAAAAATGGACTCTTTAAATAAATAATTCTAAGTATTGGCCCACAAAAAAGGTGTTACATCTAAAATTAGTACAATCTTATGCTGATTCTAAAACTTGGTATGTTAACAAGCAAGCATTAGAAAATAAAAATAATAGCATGGACTTTGTGGGCCTGCATGAATGAAATTTGCCTAGTTTTGGTAGCAAACAAGTGTACAAAAGAGAGAGAAATTGCCATATTGTCATTATTGAAATGCAAAGATAGTTGATAAAAACAAAATTATATTATCAAAAATAACCCAAGTGAACATAAATCTGGAATGAACTGTATTAGCCTCTAAATATCCTTACCAGTCAAAGTACATAAAAATTGGTGAAACAAATATTAGCACAATGCCAACCAGATGTATCTTGGCAATTTTCTATATACGTTGTTAAATTTTTATGGACATAACTAATCTTTTATCAGTCTGTGCAACATCAAGATTTAAGCTTTTCAAATTTTATTTTTATGCAGACATTTCTGAAATTGAGAAGAGCAAATGTAGCAAAATCTGAGCAAAAAAAATCCATCAAAATTTAATTTGTTTAATATTACTGGTGTTCAAGATTGAACTGTAATATGCTCTTCAACTGATGACATACTTTATCGCATAATTACAGTGAAGTTTTGAGACAATTTAATTCACATTATCCAATCTCACTGGTCTTAGTTAAGACCCAAATTCTGTGGTTTCTGGAGTTATTGGTTTATATTCATAACTTCCACGACCATCCATATGTAGATAGTACTGAAATATATAAGAAGAAAACCAATTTAGAAATTAATAACAAAAAAATATTTAAATATTTAACTGCTTTTCTATATCGGGATAGATACATAAATGGAAGTTTTTTCCCAGGAATTGGTGATGATGGTGTGTGTGTGTGTGTGTGTGTGTGTAACTGACCGAAAAGTCATCTAATAATTTGTTTAATGAAAAAAGCATGTGCCTTACCTCATGATGCTTCCATAGTGACTTCCTATGAGACACTGTAAAAAGACTGATGCCAACCTGGAACACAAAATTGTTGTTAAGTTCTGAACTCCCTGGATATACACATAATTACCTTCTCATTTCATTGCAAGAACTTGCTATCATTTATTTCCAGTTCATTTCCTCTTTCTAACAACACAGCTTCCAAGGCTAGTTATTAAACAGATAAAGGATTCACTGCTAAACTTCAGATAATTTCAGAAAAGTCTGATATAAATACAGCATTACTTACCTCCCTACAGTGCTGGTACATGAATCCTTCCACGTCTACACTCACTGCACTAGTACACTCATCCAAGATAGCAAACTGGGGTTTATGGTAAAACAATCTAGCCATCTGAAGAAGAAAAAAAGTTGGCCATCAAAAGGAATAAAATGTTAGGGATGAACTACTTAACAAAATGTTCAAAATTAATTTTTTCTTCCATTCTTCACTATATCAGAGAAAAGAATTCATTTGATCAATGACATTGTGAAATTCACTCCAGAACACTGAAAACAGGCAACTGAAATTTTTACGNCCAAGTTGCACTTACAAGCCACGTTGTACTAGTATAAGTTAAGTTAATCAGCTTGTGTAATAATAGTATAGTTTCATACTCGCTGTAGCCTTATTGCAGTGTTGCCTTTATTCCTAAAACACGAATGAATGGCTTATAATGAAAAGCCATTTGAAATAAGCCTAACAGGACAAAACTTTTTTTCAGGTCATGGGGAATGTGCAAAGTTTGAAGTTGGATGAATTAGAGGGCAAAATAGATGCCCCAAGTTGGACATTAAAGCCCTTTCCATTATGTTGGCGAGGGATTCCAGGGAAAGTTGTGAAGATGTTTAAAGCATTACCTCCCAAACCTAGTGAGTTGACGCTGTGATTATCAGTCACAATGACCTTATACATGTACATGTTATGCATGTAAGAGATGTTTACATTAAACATTTTATCTAAATGATTGCATTTATCATATACATAAACTCACTTCTTCAATTTATGGAGCAGTTTTTACTGATTAACTGCGTGAATCTTTGAAATATTCTCACAAAGCACTTTTATGTTCAGATTTGCAGAAGGCAGTTTCCAATGCTGGTGATGATGTAATATTGTGGCCTGATGGTCAATTTATTCCCTACAAGGATGATGAACTTGTCACCAACCACACTGCTTTCCTCCCAAGGCCAGGGCGTACACCTTTGCTTGCCAGTAACCTTGTGGAGGGATTGATTGCACATTGGAAGCTCAGTGAGAGGATAGGTATGTGTAGATGAAATGAAGGGGACATGCGGATAAAATTTAATCCCAAAATATTACACATCACTATAATCTCGTTACTGATAGATACATAAAGGAAAACGGAAAAAAGGTCTTTTTGGATTTACAGTAAATACTGATAGAACCGATTGTTTTACCACCGTCCTATATATTTGCGTTCCTATAGATACGACTAAACCCACGTACTTATAAATCAGCATACCTATAGATCCACGTTTTTAGAACTGAAGCACAGATATTTAACTGGATTTTTTTTGGTAAAAAGAGATGGACATTTTCTCACATGATTCTTAATTATTGCATAGTACTTTACGTTGTCTTATATTACATTTGTTAAAAAAGAACATTTCATGTTTTTCATCAGAGAAGAAGTTAACGATACCTAACTAGAGAGCGTTTTTATGGCAAAAACACATGGACATTTTCACAAGAGTGATTTTTATGTGTTGCATTGTTTCTCGTTTTGTTACTACCTGTAGTTTATTACATTTATTACAAAAAACAGAACTTGATGTTTTCCATGAGATTGGAAGTTGACGATTTTTAACTGCAAAGGGTTTTTTTTTTTTTTTTTTTTTTGGTAAAGACTAATGCAACACTGTCGGAACAAATTTTTTTTTTTTTTTTTTTTTTTGGNTGGACATTAAAGCCCTTTCCATTATGTTGGCGAGGGATTCCAGGGAAAGTTGTAAAGATGTTTAAAGCATTACCTCCCAAACCTAGTGAGTTGACGCTGTGATTATCAGTCACAATGACCTTATACATGTACATGTTATGCATGTAAGAGATGTTTACATTAAACATTATATCTAATTGATTGCATTTATCATATACATAAACTCACTTCTTCAATTTATGGAGCAGTTTTTACTGATTAACTGCGTGAATCTTTGAAATATTCTCACAAAGCACTTTTATGTTCAGATTTGCAGAAGTGCAAAGTGCAGTTTCCAATGCTGGTGATGATGTAATATTGTGGCCTGACGGTCAATTTATTCCCTACAAGGATGATGAACTTGTCACCAACCACACTGCTTTCCTCCCAAGGCCAGGGCGTACACCTTTGCTTGCCAGTAACCTTGTGGAGGGATTGATTGCACATTGGAAGCTCAGTGAGAGGATAGGTATGTGTAGATGAAATGAAGGGGACATGCGGATAAAATTTAATCCCAAAATATTACACGTCACTATAATCCCGTTACTGATAGATACATAAAGGAAAACGGAAAAAAAAAGGGGGGGGGGGGAGGCTGTGCGAGCAAGGGTAGCGAAAGCCAGGGGAAGATACACGAGCAAATTATTGGCTGCAGCCCCCTCCCCCCACTTCCAACGGGCCCTTGTAAACAACATAGGTTGTTTGGAAATGCAATTAATTCATAACTTTTACCTAATTTAAGTAATGTGTAGGTTGGGAGAATATGAATTCTGATCATAGTATCTTAAGACCTCGTAAGAAACTCAAACTGCTTTTGGATAGTTTGGATTGATGATTTAGAACAAAAAATGGACTGGTAAAATTAAGTCCAGGAAAAATACAGTTTGTCCGGGTGAAATTCATTTTTTAAGGGAATTTGCGCCTTTTTTAGAGCTTACCATACCTTTAAGGTAATAAATATCAGGAAGTAATTAAGTCAGATCACTAAGTGGGTCAGTACTCGCAGTCAGACTATCACTCGAAAGCCTCATACCTGTATCCCAAGTTGATATCGGCATTTTAGCCAATTACGATGTCAGATAGATGGATCTAGCAGTACCTGGATCTAAAGTTACATGGGTTTATGGGAATCTGTTGGTGGATCTATCGGAACGTAAATTTAACGAGACGTAAATCTATTGAGACATGTATGTATAGAGACATACAGTATCTATAGGGATGAATATTTTATTAGGACGTTTATCTATATGGCGGACCCTGAAATGAAGATGTGTGATTCAGCATGTCATGGTTTTAAGATATGGCATTGATTTGGAATATGCTTGTATGATAATAATGATTTATTCAGCTAATATCTTAAGTATACAAGTATGATAAAGTAGATCATAGTTGTTAGGTACTGCACAACATTGGATGGGCATATGTGATAATTTTTTTTTCATTGTCAATTTATTTATTTTTTATCTATTAAGGCCAATTATATATAATTTAATTGATTCTTTATGTCATTGTCAGCATTTATTTATTTATAATGATTCATCATTTAAGGAGTTTCTGTGTTGAAACACAGCAAGTCCCGGGCAAACCCAAGAGTAGTACCAACACCCAATGGCAGAAGTATTCTTTTCCTAGGAGCAGGGAATATGTCTCTCATGGACATAGAAACTCTTGCATTGAGGACAAAGAGTAGAAATGGGACGGTCTCCAGTTTCCACTATTGCACAATGTCCCCAAATGGCCTCCTTATTGCCAGCATTGCTAGGACATCTACCATGTTTGAGCTTGGTGTGTCTTTACTCAGCTCTGATGACCTGATCATTTCCATAGATACTGCAATATGTCACCATATATGTAAGGGGTTTGTTGGGACCAGGAGATACACTGAAGAGGTAGAGTGTAAATGGTCCCCAGACAGTAGCTGTATTGCAGTTGCAGGTTCATTTGGGATGTTGTTTGTTGTGACACGGAAAGCTCTCAAACTCAAATTTTGCCTCCATGAGGACTTAGAATTACCTGTGTGTACCATAAACAATGCAAGGTCTTTTGATTTTGATCCCCGTTACCGTCATTCCCGCNTAATTAATATCATATATCTGAGTTTGTAAGAAGAACATCTATATTAAATTCTTACCTTTTCCATGAAATAATCTAGGTCCTTGTCAATGACACCTTTATCAATCATGTCCTGCTTGGTGTCTGGGTAGATGACCTGGTCTCGCAAAGTACCTAATGTCATGTATGGTCTCTGTAAAATTGTGAAGCACAGAAATATATTGTGAATACCTTCTGAATTGTAACTTACATATATTTTTCAAACTTGTTTGAAGTGACATCTGCTCAATTTAACATCACCCTAATAGATTTTAAGTTGACAAAGAATAACTATGTACTTCTTTTACAACATCATCTAAATAATTTTTTTGATAATAACGAATAACTGTGTACTTTTTTACAACACCATCTTAAATATTGTAATTTATTCACATTAAAAAGAATAATTATGCATGTTATTTGATATTCCCAAAAAGTTGTCCCTCACCTGTGGGATGTAGAAGAGTTTGGTTTTGTCAGGCTTGGTCATTGTACCACCAAATAGTGGCCAAAGCTGAAAAAATTATCATTGTTTCAAAATAATAATAATAATAATAATAATAATAATAATAATTTCATGAATTAAAATTTGCAACTGCAAAATAGAAACTATTAACATACTATTAAAATGAAGCAAAAAAAAAAATTCATATAACATAGTCGAATTCATTCAGTACTTTAGATCTAAACTACATATTGCATATTAAACAGCCGACAGCTAAGAAACAGTTTCGTTTGTTCAAAAGGCACTAAAGGTTATTTTCAACCTTTTCAATCCTTAACTTTCTGTTTCTGATTGACCACACTAGCTTTGAGTATACTAGCTGAATGAGTTATTGTGTACCTCTCCAAGTATTCTGAATAGAGAACTCTTTCCACATCCATTGGGGCCACACACTAGCACGTTGATCCCAGACTTGACCTCAAAGTTCATCTCCTTGATAAGGACATCACCATTGGGGGTAACCAAAGGGACAGATTCAAATCTGAAAGCAGAATGACAGCATGTAAATATAATTATTACACATATTTTAATATTTTAAAAACTAAAAGACAGGCATGGAATGAAACTGAACAACGCTAAATATTTGCTTTTTAATTTATCGAGAACTATCAATACAGAAGGTGTTTGGTCAACTATGGCACTTACTAACATAATGATATGACAATTATTAAGGTTTACAAATCTTCCTGTATTGGTAGCTTGCATAAGGAAAGCTATTTGTGCCCTGAATAGTGCATGAGTTATGAAGTTTGGGAGGTTCAAAAGAAAGTAAGGAGGTGAAAAGATCAACTTTTTCAAAACTGGAACCCAATTTTAAATTTGATCATGACTAGCTACATACAGGCCTGAATAGTAAATACAGAAAAGGATTCCATAAAAAGTTGGCAGATTCCAAAATACACAAAGCAAACATGATACTGAAATATTTTGCACCCTGGAAAGGAAAACTACTTTCTGTAAAATGAATAATGTACAGTATATAACACATTGCAGCATACATAGTGCAGAAGTAGCAGCATTCAGTATAATCACCTACTTGATAATATAGTCCTGGTAGCAAACCCTTCCACTTCCTGGGATCAGTGGCACTGAGGGTTTTTCACCTGAAGTAAACAGTAGAACATACAATTTCAGACCATGAAAAGTCAACCACACAGTCAAAGAGTTTTCCTTTTCCTCATTAAAACAGAGGATCTATAGTTGTACAAGCAAAACTCTTTACAGACACATTTATACCTACTAGCAAGTTCCTGATGACAGCACTATCACCCTGAAAGCGGAGCAGCTTTCCATTCTACGTACCTTCAGCATTCTGTTGACTGGACACCATGGTTCTCTGGTACTGCCCTTTGTTCAGGTCATCCAGGACCTTCATCAGGTCTGTCACCCTTGATGTGAACCTGCAAGTGACCAACGGTCAAAGTACAAGACTTAAACAGATGCAATTCCAGAGTTAACTGCTCTGTTATGATCTATCACAGTTTTTATTTTATTGATATTTCCTCTCTATCCAGGATAAAAGCTGACAGCATAGATACAATTGTGCCAATTAGTTTTTACCCTGGGGGGTTATGTTTTTAGCAAACAGGTAACTCTAGAACAAGAGAGAGAATTTTACCCAGCCAGTCTGGTCATTTCCCTGCCAGCAAGGATAACTCTTCCAATAGCTTCTGCCATTCTGACCAACATCCTGCCAGACTTGTAGTAGTCCTAAAGCACAACAAATAGGCTGTATGTCTATTTTTAATGATACTTTTTTCACTATTAAACAAGGACCAATTTCAGTTTTGAATAATATTGCCATTTAAAACAACTTAATTAAAATCATTACCAATCCATTATTAGTTTTCCATTGACCAAAAGTTATTTTAGATGACATGAGCTGTATTTCATTTGATCAAATGCTCTGGACTCTTCTCACCTCTAGCCTCTCACTGTGTGAGGTATGTAAGTGTCTAGGGTTTGCCAGGTCAAGGAAGGGACGGCTTACGACCAGATATCCCACCAAAGTGGCAATGTCTGTAACCAATAATTTTACAATCAAAGAATAAACAAATATGACCAAAATTATTTGATGAAGGTGCACAACATCATGCCCTGTAGATGAAAATAAATTAAGTTTTTTTTTTGAGATGATTAATTTTTTACCAGCATCAGAGATGGGGAAAACTTACGAGTTAGTGAAGAAACGAAGAACCTGCACCACAAGGAATCTGTAGGTCCTAATTATGTGCTTGTCTGAGCTGGTGTTTTATTTCCATTAGCCTATGATTTATTTTTATTTATTGCATTTTCACATAAACTTTGCTAATTAAGTGGACTTGCATAATCAAAAATGTTGCCAGTCTGACTTTTCAGGCGGTCATGACCGGTTGGACAGACAGTTTCCCCATGTCTGCTAACATCAGTGGTATATCGCATAAGAGACGATGAAAAACCCATTTCACTGGAAAATACTTCTGTGCATATGGCTGAACTGATACACAACATTTTAAATCTGATGCCTATTATCCAATGTAAAATGTATCATCTACTACAATAATTCTTAAACATCAAGGTGCTGTGAACTGTGAAAGATTTCTGTAATTTATAAATTGTTTTGTACATTTACAAACACAAAATTAAGCATCCCCATGGACTACATTATGCTAAATCTTAGTTTGGATTCCTTTCATAAACAAGATGAGCTCTTGACAATGCAAAATATAAAGGACTTAAATATAAAATACCCAAGAAGATCATTTAAAATATCTAAATGGAGAAAGAAAAACATTGGCTTAAAAAACTCAGCACTCACATTTTGCTACTATGTTGTCTATCAGTCCCATATTAAACCGGAAGTTTATGAGTGTTCTTAAATGATCCACCTAAAACCAAAAAAGAAATAGAGACAATTCACAGTATATTTTTTGTCTTATGTTATATGAAAAAGGTATATTTGCTATTAAACAATATTATTATACAACAATGCACGTATTTGTAAATTTATATGCAACAAATTGACCATGCTTTTAGCTTTTGTTTCTGCAGTCAGACAGTATGCTGTATACTTGCCAGTTTCTTAAAAGTTCCTTCTATTGTGACTTTTTCTCTTTTGTTTCCCTGGTAAAATGCTACTTCTTCACTGGAACAGAAATGGACAGTCCAAGTTCAAAACATAAGAAAGTGCAACATCAGTATTTTTAAAACTTTTGAACTTTTTCAAATTTATAGCACAGACAGTAGTAAAACTGTCTCTATAATATTTCTTTTTTGTCTTCCCTTGCAATAATTAAAAATACTAACCTATTTGTAATGAGTCTAGAGTTGACATAGCGGAATTCTCCCTCATACTTTTGTTCTATCACAGTCATTTTTCCAATAGGTCTTCTAAGCCTGAAAACACATGCATAACCAGTGTAACAAGTATTGCTTATTATATTATTTTTGGACTTTTGGTGTCTACAAATACACAAGAAATGGAAAAATAAATTATGACTAACACTAAACTTCTTCATGTGTGTTTTTTTAAGTTTTAGCCTACAAGTACCAAAAAGCAGTAACACATCAATGCAGAACACAAACCTAGTAAGTATAAGTCCAGAGACAGCTAAATAAGCCAACATGTATCCTGGACCCTGAAATAGTACAAAACAAAATTAAAAATGAAATTAATAACAGATACAAAGCAATATAAAAGTCCAGAACATCAGTCAACTAACAGCCTATGAGATTTCTTAAAATTCCCTGTAAAATATTTTCACAGTCATTTATATACCCGAAACTATTTCTACTTAAACTCTTAGTATCTTACCTGAATACCAATGGCTCCAGCTAGTTTAAAAGCATACAGAAAAATATCAAGTACAGGCTGAAAAATAAAGAGATAATATCAATATTGCATCCACTTAAATGCAATCAGAAAATAATCAGAAAAGACAGTTCTCCTTTAGCAGTTTACAGTTTCTTACACATAAGCTTCCACAAAATAAAAAGAGTAAAACACGCACAATACACTAATAAAAACATTAAAAATCTTACCTTGCTTAAATTGGAATAAAGTTCCCCAATACTTTCACAAAGTTTATCAACATCTTGTGTCAGCAACTGGTCAGCATTTGAAATTCGGTTGTCTAAATTACTCATCTTGTAGTATGTAAACCCCCTACAAATATAATCCGTAACTTCATACAATGTAATGTACTTAAAATGTTGTAAAAATGTTTAACTGTACTTCATTTACAAATAACATAGAATGAGAGAAGTTCACAAAAGACAACTACACCTAATATGGATATGGAGAACACCACCTTTCATGTTCTTCAAATATCTGCCCACTGGGCAAAAAGAAGGAATAGGTACTGCTTTCATTAAAAAGAATCATTAAAGACAAACCTGAGATATTTGTCGTACAGGTAATCTGTGAGTCTGGTTCTAAAACGCAGTTTAACTTCATTTAATCCAAACTGTAAGGTAAAGATTTAGTAATTAAACCATTATTGGCATGTTATTTCCTTGTACAGTATGTGAATATTGGTTAAGATAATACAATTGCACAGTACAATGCAGATAACTTTTTAATGTCATAAAACAGAATCCCCTCAAAGCATTAACATTATTGGATATTTTTAAAAATCAGCCCAATTGTTTCACAACATTCAACATAATTTCCACTTACTTTCAAAACATTATTCATCAAGGAGATCTGAAATAGAAAATGGCAAGATTAGTCAATTTTCCGATAAATTCTTACCTTAAATATTTGTTGTAGATAACGCACCGTTTAATACACAATTTTTAACACATTCTCATCTCTGTACATTTTCTTAAAAGTGAAAAATAGATAATTTAGATATATGAAAAATCTGAGTTGCTCAGTCAGTGAAGACTTACCAAAGGCATGGCATATATGAACTTGAATAAATGTTTCTTAAAAAGTTGCATGTCTCTTCCAATAATTGCACTGCAAAGAACAAATGTATAATTAGTCCGATTCTTGTATAAAGAAGCATATTTAAATTTTAATTTTCTCTAAAAGTAGGAATATAGGCCCACAAGTATCTTAATTTGCATCACCATTCAAAACAGAAAAAAAGGCAAACAGCTTTATTTGTACTAGATCAACCCCATTTTGACTGAGACATAATGCATTAAGCAGGGGGTTGGGCGTTCATCAATTCCCAAGATCTCTCTTCTTACAGGTGCACAATTCCAATATCTGGCCTGGAAATTAGCCATTAATCTGAGTCAACAGACTAGTAGATTTGGTGTGTAAAATTTCTGGGGGGAAATCTTTCACTGGGAACCTTTATGGCACAGAAGGTACCATACCTCTCAATGGAAGTTCCGTTCTGTATCATCCAGACATCACAGTATGTGCGACAGACTAGGGCCACAGCTACCAGTAACATGTAGCCAGCCTCTGCAGACACCCAGCTTGGAATCACAATCTTTAAAATACGACATAATCTCCTGGAAATGACACAGAAATAAAAATATGAATGAAACAAATATATACTCGAAATTATTACATGACAATATGCAACAACAAGATGTTCAATCTTCAGAAACTGAAAGTAAGGTTGGTTTGTGTATAAGAAAACATTTAATCTTTAGAGAAATCTTTAGAAATTGAGAGCAAGATGGGGTTAAGTATAAGAACTATGGACACACAGAATTGAAAATATATTCATCATATTTTCAACATCACACAGGGATATAACCCAGCTGCTCAGATGACCAGTAGGGACATTGAGATGTAGGCAGAAATTTTACTAACAGTTAAAGGTGACCACTTTATTCACAGTTAAAACATGTTGGTGCATATATCAAACTCTACTGAGATATTTCATCCATCGTTTTCATAAAAGAGATACAGATCATATTTCCATTTGGAAAAATCTATGAATGGGGGGGGGATATCAGGGGCGGATTTAGGCTGTCTTCTGGGTCTTCCAGAAGACGGTCAGATTTTCAAGTTTACATTGTCAGGCATCTAATGTTTTCATTCAGAAGACGGTCAAAAATGGAGGATGGATCAACAAAAATAATTTGGAAAACTGTCAGAAAATATCTTTGGATCCGCCCCTGGATATGGCATCATTTTGGCAGCTGCTGTTGAATATATATATTACCTGAAGAAGACACCATCTACTGCTGCTTTATCTCTGCCCTTGTCTGCAGTTTTTTCCTGAAAGAACATCAATAGCAAACATCCTGTTTTGACTGTGTGTAAGAAATAAATTTTGACATGGACCCTACCATGATCCTACCATGATACCATTTTTCGATTTGTTCTTTTGTTTAAATAAAGTATAAATATGTTCAAAATTTGTCAAATGAACTTTTTTCATATCTTAAGTCCTACTTAATGTGTATACAGGGTTTATACCAAATTATGAAGCAAAATAAACAAGTACAGAGTTACAACACGAACCCTTTCACGGCGCTCTTGTTCAATTGCCTCAGAAAGGTTAAATGTGGTCTTTCCTCTGCAATGAGAACAACTGTTTGTAAATGGTCAATGTCATAATTTCATAAACAGCTTTATTTCAAAACACTAGTCTACAGAAACTGACTATCCAACATTTTCAAAACATTTCCTATTCTTCATTAATATTTCATAGATTTATAAATCTTTGCTTTATCTTTATCTGAGTGATATTAAAGTTTGACATTTTTCCATAACTAAATTATGAAGCAAATGTGTTTGCGGGGATAGAAATTACAGGTAAGTAATATGCGCACTCTTTTTTCAGCAGTTCACCCAGCAGAATGTGAACTCTGCTCAGACTGTCTAGATAACGGATAGAACAGCCTATTTCTTGTATCCCTAGACCATAGCTGAAACAATACCCATCCCTCCCCTGCTTATAAAAAATCTAGCCACAATCAAACATGTTCCGGCATGCAAACTGATACACACATACGCATAATACATTGCTCAGTATTGCACAAATGAGTGCTACATTACTCAATATCATACAGTACACGTAAATTCTGACAGCTCACGTCGTCAAGGGGTCACTTTCTGACCCCAACAAGAGAGCAAATAATTTTCGGCTTGTAATCACATAAAATTGACAATTAAGGACAAAAATCACTAACCTGTTTAACTGCTTCTTGCCGTTTGTTTGCCATCGTGTCCGAGCTATCCACCAAAGTACCACTACGCCTGCAGCAACAGCGGAATTCCGAGGAGTTAGTTTCTCCTGTAATTTACTCCAGGCAGCCATCTTGAAATGAATTGAGGGCAAGGTGACGGGGTCAAAGTCTAAACTAACGCAATACATGGGTGTCTTGACAAACGTGTGACTCGATCTTTGCGGTCATTGGGACAGTTGCGCCTTTGTAGTAGGCCTAATAATTTCTTTTAGCTTTCAAAACTAGTAAATTTCCATTCATAATATCAGATAAACTTAATATTATGGCAGAATCAACATTTTCTATCACTAGACACGAGAATTTCTTATGAAATTTCTTTAGGCCTTAATTTAAATTTTGGTTAAAATATAGGCCTATCATTGGTTGGTCTATTTGAGCAGTTTTAGTTTCTTAAAGCATTTGGCATTCATTGACTTTTACCTCATAACAGTAAGACTGTTAAAACCGTANGTCTGGGTTGGTTTGGGTATAAGAAAACATTTAATCTTTAGAGAAATCTTTAGAAATTGAGAGCAAGATGGGGTTAAGTATAAGAACTATGGAAACAGAATTGAAAATATATTCATCATATTTTCAACATCACACAGGGATATAACCCAGCTGCTCAGATGACCAGTAGGGACATTGAGATGTAAGCAGAAATTTTACTAACAGTTAAAGGTGACCACTTTATTCACAGTTAAAATATGTTGGTGCATATATTAAACTCTACTGAGATATTTTCATCCATCGTTTTCATAACAGAGATGCAGATCATATTTCAATTTGGAAAAATCTATGAATGGAGGGGGGGGGGGGGTGCATGGCATCATTTTGGCAGCTACTGTTGAATATATTTTACCTGAAGAAGACACCATCTACTGCTGCTTTATCTCTGCCCTTGTCTGCAGTTTTTTCCTGAAAGAACATGAACTGTAAGAAATAAATTTTGACATGGACCCTACCATGATCTTTGAAACTTTTTCGATTTTGTTTAAATAATGTATAAATATGTACAAAATGTGTCAAATGAGCTTTTTTCATATCTTAAGTCCTACTTAATGTGTATACAGGGCATATACCAAATTATGAAGCAAAATAAACAAGTACAGAGTTACAACACGAACCCTTTCACGGCGCTCTTGTTCAATTGCCTCAGAAAGGTTAAATGTGGTCTTTCCTCTGCAATGAGAACAACTGTTTGTAAATGGTCATTGTCAAAATTTCATAAACAGTTTTATTTCAAAACACTAGTCTACAGAAACTGACTATCCCAAATTTTCAAAACATTTCCTATTCTCCATTAATATTTCATAGAGAGATTTATAAATCTTTGCTTTATCTTTATCTGAGTGATATTAAAGTTTGACATTTTTCCATAACTAAATTATAAAGCAAATGTGTTTGCAGGGATAGAAATTACAGTTAAAGTGATAATAACTCTTCGTTTCGGCCAAAAAATGAATTTTCCTGGAGTAAACAACAATTTTCCCATACTTACCAATAGTTAATGAATCCATTTTTACATTCAAAGTTAGTCTCTGGTTTTTTTCTAAAAAGTTTGGTTTTTTGTTAAAATCTCTTAAGAGATTTTAACAGAGTATAGCCATCAATGGAGGTCACGTGGTCTAAAGACGAGCTCAGATATCAGAATAATAGCTATAACAGCCGTTTTTGTGGGAAAACAGAATATATTATATTTTTATGAGTCACTCACAATGTTTTTATTGTGAAATACAGATTTCATACGAAGAGTTATTATCCCTTTAAGTAATACGCGCACTCTTTTTTCAGCAGTTCACCCAGCAGAATGTGAACTCTGCTCAGACTGAATAGATAACGGATAGAGCAGCCTACAAAATGTATTTCTTGTATTCCAAGACCATAGCTGAAACAATACCCATCCCTCCCCTGCCTATAAAAAATCTAGCCACAATCAAACATGTTCCGGCATGCAAACTGATACACACAAACGCATACTACATTGCTCAGTATTGCACAAATGAGTGCTACATTACTCAATATCATACACGTAAATTCTGACAGCTCACGCCGTCAAGGGGTCACTTTCTGACCCCAACAAGAGAGCAAATAATTTTCGGCTTGTAATCACATAAAATTGACAATTAAGGACAAAAATCACAAACCTGTTTAACTGCTTTTTGCCGTTTGTTTGCCATCGTGTCCGAGCTATCCACCAAAGTACCACTACGCCTGCAGCAACAGCGGAATTCCGAGGAGTTAGTTTCTCCTGTAATTTACTCCAAGCAGCCATCTTGAAATGAATTGAGGGCAAGGTGACGGGGTCAAAGTCTAAACTAATATAACGCAATACATGGGTGTCTTGACAAACGTGTGACTCGATCTTTGCGGTCATTGGGACAGTTGCGCCTTTGTAGTAGGCCTAATGATTTCTTTTAGTTTTCAAAACTAGTAAATTTTCATTCATAATATCAGATAAACTTAATATTATGGCAGAATAAACATTTTCTATCACTAGCCACGAGAATTTCTTATGAAATTTCTTTAGGCCTTAATTTAAATTTTGGTTAAAATATACAGGTAGGCCTATCATTGGTAGGCCTATTTGAGCAGTTTTAGTTTCTTAAAGCATTTGGCATTCATTGACTTTTACCTCATAACAGTAAGACTGTTAAAACCGCAGGGGGAAATCCTGCGGGGGGGGGGGGGGGGGGGG